CAACGTTATCCGTTTATTCAGTAAATACTAATCCTAGATATTCCCTTATATCACAAAAACAACTCTGCATCTGCGAAACAGGATTGGAAGAGAACTAGGCGACCCGTTCCGAGAACGTAACGCAAGAAGGAATGCAAAGGACGGATTATGAATCATTCTAAGCAGCATGATATGTCGCGCAGTCTGCAGCCCCTCCTTGCATCTAAGCAATTCGGAAAGTTGCAAAACATTGCAAAAAAAATTTATCGAATGTATCTATTGGCACTTTTAGCCTCCTCGGTTTCAACGCTTTGCATTCAACATTTTTAAAGAGATATTCAAAAACTCATTAGTAATTCATAAGCCCATTAACCTATCAAATGGTAGATAATACATCACGTGCAGTGACTTTATATCGATAAACCTCAACCTTATTAGTATGCGGTGTTTTATCATATATAAAGACACTGCTCGTGACTTATGAATATTAATTAATTATCAACACAGAAACTGACACAACAAATGTTGGGAACATATTTAATGTTCTTTCAACAAATTTCACACAGTAAATTTACTTTTGCACCAAATTAATAGTACAGTTGTGAAATACACATCTGGAAAAATTCTCTATTCCATTAGTACAGTAATCTGGTAAAGGCATATTAGACAATACATCATCTGAAACTTAGTAGAAGAAAAGTACAAAACACGTGTGAGATTTGATTTTCTTGCATACTAATTTAATCCCTAATGTTTTTCTCGTACGCTAATTTCTAACGTTCACAAAAGCATAATTGTTATGAACTCTCTTGACACACGCTTTTCCAATAATGTTTTTGAAGCCGTTCAAAAAACTCGCAGCACGTGTTTTATCGGGTCAAAAACCACTCGGCTACGCCTCGTGGTTTTAAACCCGATAAAACACTCCTGCTCGTTTTTTAAACATTACATAAACTGCTGAGTTTATACTTCCTTGCGTTGCTCAATTTTTCCGTGGGATGCCTGTGCGGTTGCCCGGCCTTTCTTTTCCATCGCTGACGCAAATCGACAAATTCTTGAAATGCTTGGAATGTTTGACATTTTCCGTATCTCTCAGCAATGAACGAGTTACCAGTAATCGGTTCCTTGTGTTAGCGCAACGTTGTTTCGACGTAATAATACTTGATTTGATGAGAGTACATCGCTTTTTCGCTCCCATTTTATTAAAAATGGATTTATGTAATGTTGATGCAAGGGAAGTGAACGTTTTTGTGTGATTAACCATGAAACATCTAATAAAATCTACCGATTATCTACCGCTCATCTAGCGTAGGGTTTATTGCGAAATTGACATCTTGAATATCACAAATTAATGGCCTGTTTACATGGAGGTGGGATACCCTAGGTAAGGTGAGGTTACCCGCGTATTCGGGGGGAAGGGGGGGAGTTGGAAACCGGCCTGTCCCTATAATCTCTTAGCTAGTCTTGATCACGTTTATATGGTAGATAGGATGACCCGCCTAGGCGGGTTGCCCGGTCTGCTGGGTAGGCTAACCCTGTCAGCCGGGGTGACAGTTTGCAATGTAAACATGTCATGGTGAGGTAACCCGCCTGGCCGGGATCGCGTTCATGTTACAAAAATGAGCAAAACAATACCGAAACATACGGTGGCCCACAAAGGACATGCAATTTTTCTCTTTTTTTGTTATCGGGCGATAAATCTCATGTATCGCACGATAAAATCAAAATATCGCGCGATAAATGGGAAATTATCGTGCAATAAATGGAAATTATCCCACGAGAAATGATAAATTATCGCGCGAGAAATGGCAAAATTGTTAGGTCGCACGTTCAATTTTTAGACTTCCGCCGAAAAGAGAAAAACTCAGCCATGCCACAGACTGCAGCATTGTCGGAAAAGCAAAATTGCGGCTCAGTTTCATTTTTCTCTTTATTGTTGACAGGATTAAAATAGAAATAAAAGTTATGTCTCAATATTCTATCAAAAGGAAAAAAAGTCAAAAATTTTTGATTTGGCACTTTTGTATGTTTCTATGATAAAAAATAACGAAAATCAAAAATTGACATCAATTTTCAATTTTTGATTTTAAACGAAAATTGAATAGACGAATGACACGCGGATCAGAAATACGGGTATGTTCAAAATTTTCACATTTCTTAGCCGTCCCGTGCAGAGCTAAAACGTTAAAACACCCTTTTTTATGTCCTCTTAGCAATGAAACCTCACAGCGATTTAATCACGTTTTTACTCTAAACTCAATACTACATTCACATATTACGCCGAAGCGAAGACATTGTAGCGCCAGAAACCGTTAACGCATCGAGCTATTGGCGAAAATCTTAAAGGACGGTAAAATACTGACGTTTTTCGGCAACGTTTCACCACACGTCGCCGTTAAACTCCTTAATTACAAATGCGATAAAAACCTCGAGAAACTTCACCCCGGCATCCCGGGGTTGTAAGATTGTATGTAAACGCGGGCTTTTTATCGACCTCGGCTAGGCGGATAACCTCACCCAGCTGGGGTCCCCCACATCCGTGTAAACAGGCCCTAACTTTAAATCTCTAAGAAATACCTCAGTACAATCTTATTAGTTGTAGGTTTTTGATGAGTAAATTACGGCGGCTGAAAATATACTTCCTCAAAGAAGAGAGTTAGTTATCAGCGGAAATGGAAATTATTTTACCAGGCTGCTTCTCTTTAGGATTGAAACAAGCGATAAGAAACACGAGGAGATCAATATTTTGAGGTCCAGTTTGTTTCGGAGAGATCCAAAGGATTTTGAGATGCCGCTCCTCGCTATTTTTAACTACAAACACTGTCGCGGTTTATTCAACACTAAAACTTTCTTCGGTGATGTCTTTGGCTAATTTAAGTGACAATCTTCGTATTTTATTTTAACTGCACTATTCCTTTCAATGAACCGCTCAGTAGCCGACGCATTCCACGGAATAGCCTTCAGGCGTATTGTTCTGTAAATAAAACACACAACCAACAATTCCTCTATTTATTTACTATTACGAAGGGCTAATGCTCGAAACATCAGCTTTACAAACTCTCCCCACTTGAGGGCATACTGCGCCATGTTTCTTACTGGTGTTTGTTTCCGACAGCTGTAGATGTCCTTGATGTCACTATTGAATACGAGTATGGGTTAGAATCGGAAAGCAAGGCGGTTATTAGAGGCACGAATGACCATTTATGCGAAAGCATTCCAGACTTGTGCAACTTTCCTGCCGGTGGTAAGGTGTTTTGAAGCGAAAAAATGAAACTTTATGCGGATAGACCATCGGCTGTTATTTATTTACTAGCATGTCTATTTTTTCCCAGAAACTCAAGTGAAGACTATTTCTACAAAATTAACAGAACTTCCACCATTTTTGAAGGTAATCAATTAATAAATAGGTGTTCAACCAGCCATGTGTTTACAGTGCTTGAGATTGTTATAAGGTGGCTCTGCTGCGCTGTTCCTATGTTTTTTTGTTTGTTTGTTTGTTTGTCTCTTTGTTTGAATTTTTTTCTATCTTTATCTCTATTCAGCTTACTATTTCACCAAATAGGTGAGCTTTGATACCCAACAACTATTGCTCCCGTATCCATATTTACAGTGATTTTCTGCAAATGATGGTGATAATGATGATGATTTTCATCAATGCTCATGTCATAGTGGTCGTTGCTTCTACAGAGAAGCAAGACAGAGCAATCTATGTGTTTACGTTAAATAAATTCTACTTCTGTTTTTATTCCTTAAACCATTAGACGCTGACCGTTAAAGCAAGAAATCAATTTTTCAATGAAGAGTATATCATGTTTCTCTGTTTTGATGCGGTGTTCAAAGTGTACTAAAAGGCAAGAATGAGTAGCTGACTCGCGAGGAGGAGGACAAATTAAAGAAATAGATTAGACAGTAGGATGGAAAAATTTTTGTGTTAAAACTGCGAAATGTCTCTGATAACAACGACTTTATGATATTGATTAAGAGAATTGTCAACAATAAACCTACCTAGGGGAGTGTAAACTAGTAATGAGTTACACCCCACCCTTAAACAACGAGTGCGAATAGATCAGAGGGAGTAATATATCACTTCAAAATAGAATGGAACTGACGACCTGTTTACAAAGTGAGTCACTTAGACATTTAATAATCAAAAGAGTCATCTTGAAACAAAAAAATACTGTAAGACAAGGTCTCAGAGTCAAAACGTAATGAACAATACTAATAAATTGAATACTTATCAGGTAAATTAGTGATCGATGTTTTACTGTTACTACGTCAGCTTGTGTCAACTTCCAAGTTAGTACAACAGCTCATAGGAAAGAAAAGGGGGGGGGGTGGGGTGGGTTGGTTAGTTTACTAACAACTGTTACAAAACGGCTGAAAGTAGGCAGTGAGAGATTTGATCTCTTAGGGGCTGGTAAGAAAAGGGATACTGGGGACAAAGTTCGTTTGAGTCCGCTGTGACTACGAAATGAGCCAGCCTTCAATATAAAACAAGAATCAAAAACGGGTTGCAGTCAGGAGAGAGGAACAGTTCGCGCGAATAGAAATATAGAATAGATATTCCAAGAGTGCGAAAGAAGCGGACTTAAGCTTTTAGACTCTTAAAAAGCATATTACACACGGTGCTCCCTTCAAAGTCCGAAAGATCAAGCAGAGGTATATGGTTGGACTTGAGACGTCCTCAGCGTAACTCCTTGATTGGCGATCACTGGGCAATATAATGCTCTATGATGAAATAAGTCCACACTAAGGGACAATCGAAGTGCTCTGTGAACGAACTCGTGAACTGACAGATGACTTACATGAATTTTGGATTATATTTAATGTTGCTTAGGGTAAGGGTTTAGGGAATTTTGTGGTTGATTGTCATATTTAGAGTAGGAGCAGTAGTTCAGTGTTCGCTAATGTAGCAAAGAAACAAAATAACGTTGAGATAAGAAGGCAAAAAACACACGATAAGAAATGTAATGATCGATTTTGTCCCCAAGCTCATGCCATAACAGAAAAAAAGGCTCTCCTCCACTATGCCTTCGCGTTTCTCCTCATCTTTGACTTGGTCGTTATCCCTTTTTCGACTTAGTCTAGTGTCCCTTAGCCACGGCATCGAGACAAAGAAACATGACATCATCCTGGTTAAAAAGTTGCAGTCTTCCATTAACGGTCAGCATCTGGCAATTCAAGAAAAAAAAGAAAGGAGTGTGCCTTTTAATCGGGCGCGTATATTTATTTAACCTGTTTCTCGTTTCTTAACATAATGACTTACGCAAATCAACCAGAACTTAATCTAATGCTCATTAGTACCAAGAAAAAGTTAACAATTACCGAATGGCCGAAAAACAAGTTATGCGATAAAAACAGAAAAAATAAATGTGAATAGAAGCTAAGGATTATAATAAGGAGGCTTGAAACTCAACCATGTCACTAAATCTATTACCTTGAAAAATGATGGAATTGCTGCCAATTTACCTGAGTGAGTGAACACGTGAGTCTCTAAAAGAAAGGAAACAAGTAGATCAGGAAAGGGTAGAGAAAAACAGGAGGAAATAATAGTTATTAGCATCGGCAATAAAGCAACATCAACAACAATTATAACAGCTGGTAAATTTGTCTAATCAAATTCTATTGCGCGAGCGTGCTTCATATTCCTATTGTTCACGCTCAGACGTCAGCAAACAAATCCCTCGAGAAAAAGATTTTCCATCGGGTTGAAAATGTTATAGAACAATTGCTTCATACGTCAGCTGTGCGTTCATCGAGATATGAAGCACTTGGGAAACTTGGAGAGCACAAAAGAAGCTAGAGTTGCTCTCGGCTACGCCTCGAGCAACTCTTACGCATCTTTCGTGCTCTCCAAACTTCCCGCGTGCTTCATATCTCAATGAACGCACGCTGACGTATGAACCAATTGTTAACAGCAAGATAGCGTCGAAATAAATCATCAGCTCAAAATATATGCTTTTTTCTGAATTTTTCAGATGTTCCTTTGGAGAAAAACAGTAAGTGGTTTGATTGACACGAAATCCATCCTGGGGTTTTATGATATAACATAACGATTTGGCTAGGATATATATCTAAATGTTCAAATTTCACGATTCGTGAAAAGCCGTGCCTATCACAGCAGCAAGCCACCATTAGGAAACAGTGATGGCCTAAATATTTTCAAGGCGCAGATAGATCTAAAGGGAAAGCCTTTATTTTAGTACTAGAGTCCTAATTTGAATGGAGGAAAGGAAAAACCTGTGCAGAGTGCAGAGCTGCATATCGACCACAGGAAGCCATTACGCATGTCTACATTAAAACGACTGGCATGTTGAACTGAATGTGTCCAAGAGCTTCTACTGTCATCGGCGTTCTTGTAATTGGGCGTTTTTAGTTTGCATGATTTGTCAAATCGTTTCAAAGAGTATGCATTTTCAAAAGAAAACGAAGGAATGGGAGATCAGATTTGGCAAATTAAAAGATCAGAGCATGAACTGTTGAAGTTTCAGTATTCTGTTCCTGTATAAGAAGATTCTAGACTCGAATAGAACAGAAGGTCGACGCATAGACAGATCAGTCAAACTTACTTGATCTGCCACTGCATTAACAACTTTATCAATTTTGAACCGAGCATTACATTTTCCTTCTGATCATTCATATACCCTACTTACCGTCTGCAGGTAAGCTGCATAATTCTTGGAAATCTGCATTTTTGCAAAAATTTTCCCTCCCCTTGAAGATAACCTTTCCGTCCGATTCTGACTTTATTATGTATTTCGTGTACGCGTCAAGGACATCAACAGCTGAAGGAAACAAAAGCATTAGTTATTGATAAGGTACTGTCGATGCTCACGTGGCGAGGAGTTGAAAGTGAAGCAGCTTTTATGCTAAAATTGTACCATTGCGATTATTGTGCCCTATTTTCTGAAACAAGTCTGAATAAAACTGAATTTAAATGGAAAATTCTTCTTTAGACTTTCTACTGTTAGTTCCCAGTTTTAAAGGTGCATCAACACTTTTCCCATCATTATGTATATGAATTCCCTTTCCTTTAGCTCAGCTTTCTTTTTTTTTTTTTTCCCCTTTGTTACATAGTATTGTGCCAATTTTTTTTATTCACACTCTAGAGAAACCCTTAGAACCTCATTAAAAAATACAATTTAAATACTATGTTATAATAAAATGAGAGCGAGGGTCGGATGGGAAAATATTCGGCTCGACGTCATGACTTACAGACTGACCGCTGAGGATCGAAAATTTGGAAAATTTCTTTTCAACCAAAATAGGACGTGATAGACGAGTGCACGCGGGACAACCACAAATAAATTCTACAATGAAAAAAATTCCTTTATTCTTTTGAATTAGCACAAGACACTCATAATTAATGGAAAAACGCGACTTTTGAAACTCTTAAACCTTTGCATCTGAACTCGCGGACAGTAAACGACATTGCCCTAAATCTTTAGAGTACATTCACTTTGCAAGTATCTTTTTTTTATATAAATATTATTTTTATTAAACATCTAGATGAAAATCCACTTAGTTTGTCGCTACAATTTTCTTGAAGCAAAAACATACCAACTTTTCATTCTCAGCGAGCACTTTAGGGAATTCTAGTCGAGAATTACTGAAGCTCTTTTATTATAACTGCGCAGGGAAAAATAAAGGCTTAAGACGGAGCAACCAGTTAGCTAAACTGCGTTTTATAGAAAAATTTGATCATGCTAAAATAATGAAATATTTGTCGTTGTTTTTTGACGTTCAAAGTGTCCTCTTGGTTTTCTCCAAACCAAATGCCTTTAAAAAATTACATTCTGGGATTTCTCCCAGTAAGGCGCCATTTGATGAAGGGGAAAGATGTTTCACTTTCTATGAGTTTACAGGTAAATATACAATAGATTTCTGACCAATCAGAGCACGCCTAATGTCTAAATCTGTCGAAATCATGTTATAATTCTCTTTAGTTCTGTAATCAACTTACCGGGGGTTAGTGTTACACTTATCGTGGCGAAAGTTCCAGTCGCTATAAAAGGCCATGGAGATATTTTGATTTTTGCTGTATGGTCATGAAAGCCTGTCGACAAATCGAAAATTTCACTGAGAGAGTGTCACTAGTGTGTTCCAGACCATCTTAAAAAGGCTGGTAAACTCGTCAGAAAATCATGATCATAAAAAGTTTCTAGACTCGTTAAAATATAATGACCAGGGGATTGTCTTTGCTGAAGAACCAAAAATGATTCCCACATTGAAGCTTTGAATAAACGCATGAATTTGATTCTATCTTTAATATCTTAGATGACTGACGGATAAATGATGCAACACAACAAAAACGTAGGAAAGGAGAGACAAACAATAGCTCAATAGCTTCCCCTTTTTGTAACGGTTTTGTTCGTCTGATTGTTGAAGTTTACCAATGGACTGCTTCTGGGTGGAGAGATTTATTTATTGCGTCACAATGAAATCTGCCTTATCTCCCTCTAAAGCTCTGTCAATAATCTCTAGCCCCCCCCCCCCCCCCCCCCAACCCCATATTTGTTCCCTTTCAGCGACGACTGATCCCCCCACATTAGGTGTTGAATAACAACTGATCGCCACTGCTGCAAGCTAGGACTTCGGCATGTATTTGCTATATATTTGGTTTATCTATTTATCGTTTTCATGCGCATGTCACAGTAATACTTTTTGAACCCACTCCAGACTTTGATACCTTATTGCACTTAGTCGACTCCGAATGCGTACCGCCGACTACCCTTTCCTATCCTGTTTTAATAACAGGAAAATGTTCAGAGTTCACTGAAACAGTTTCAATAAAAATGAAATGAAACAACTAACCATCACAGATCGACGCATTTTTAAATTCTATTCCCGAGGGATATCCTGCTCCTCCACCGATAACGAAAAGGAACAAGTTCAAGGAGATAGTTCGCCACAGCTGATTGGCTGAAATCATAATTTTCTTCGTATCCAAGAAGTGGATAGCAATATCTGTGGAGAAGAGTTAATTTTAATGTACGACGCAACAAATCTTTCTGATGAAAATAAAAAACCTACACCTATTATGTTCAAATATGTTCAAGCATAACCGATGGAATTAGTAAGATCACCTGAAAATTGACTATGCATATCTGGCAGCGTTTTTGCGAGGTATATTTGTCTTTTTGTTTATCAAATGATAGAACATATTTCTTTTCAGGAAGGAACATAAGAAAGAAATGTATTGTGAGTCGAAAGTCGTGGTACATTATGTTAGACTTAGCTCAAAATCCAGTCTATTCCGTTTTCTTTTCTGATATTTTCAATTTTGACTTTCCCTGAATCATTCATATCTCGACCTCAAATAAAAACATGACGAACTCATATAGGTTTACGGACTTTTAATTTCTTTGACTCTCCAGACACGGGCCGCTATGTTTATCTCCCGCGCCCGCCTCTACGTACAATGAAGAACTCTTATATCTCTCGTGCATCGACGCTTTCTTCAGTTGAAATTCCGTTGAATTGAAAGATCACTTACCTTGTTATTCAGGTGTTGTTCAACGAGCCTTTGTCGATCTTTTGTCGTAATCAAGATTTGTGAAATTAACTACAATTTAACAATAGTTCCAAACCTACCAATATTTTTCAATCATTATGTAAAAAAGCTAACCGGAAGCGAAAGTAAGAAAGATTAGCTCATGAACCAAACGGGAAACAACCTCTTCAAATAACTGTTCGTTCAGCAGTTTATTAGGAACAATGCTAATTGGGCGTTAAAAGAAAAAGACGCTCTTCCATATTAGTTTAAATGTTTGTAAAAAAGCTTTTTTTCGTTTTGTTTATTTCATACGGCCAAGGGTACGTACGGGACGTGCTCTTGTGGAATATATAGGCGGTGCGTAAAAAATTGAATGCAAAAAGTGTTTGAAATCATGCTTGAAAATCATCGTGATCCAAAGCAGTACAAACAAAAGTAAGAAAGATTAGCTCATGAACCAAACAGGAAGCAACCTCTTCAAATAACTGCTCGTTCAGCAGTTTATTGGGAACAATGCTAATTGGGCGTTAAAAGAAAAAGACGCTCTTCTATATTAGTTTAAATGTTTGTAAAAAAGCTTTTTTTCTTTTTGTTTATTTCATACGGCCAAGGGTACGTACGGGACGTGCTCTTGTGGAATATATAGGCGGTGCGTAAAAAATTGAATGCAAAAAGTGTTTGAAATCATGCTTGAAAATCATCGTGATCCAAAGCAGTACAAACGAAGGTAAGAAAGATTAGCTCATGAACCAAACAGGAAGCAACCTCTTCAAATAACTGCTCGTTCAGCAGTTTATTGGGAACAATGCTAATTGGGCGTTAAAAGAAAAAGACGCTCTTCCTTATTAGTATAAATGTTTGTAAAAAAGCTTTTTTTCTTTTTGTTTATTTCATACGGCCAAGGGTACGTACGGGACGTGTTATTATGAAATATATAAGCGGTGCATAGAAAATGTAATGCAAAAAGTGTTTTAAATCATGCTTGAAAATCATCGTGATCCAAAGCAGTACAACCACACTTGATGCAATTTTCCGCTTTGTAAACGAATTACATGCAAATGAGAATGAGGTCGGACACGAAACAGAGTTACTTAATATAACCGCGTTTATTGTCACCTATTTATTCATTCTTGCTTGACAACTTGAGTTTCTTTGGACGTTTCAAACTTGGTTTTGCTCTCGAAATAGAAGATCGCGTGCAATATGTTAACATGAACAATCCTGAGTGTTGAAACAACCTTTCTGTTCCGCTCTGCGTGCGTCTATGTCGACATTTGTCATTGTTTCACGGAACATGACAAAGTGTACTTAAAATCATTGCGGTTTCTTTAATTTACGAACATTCAAAACACTGACGTCGACACTTCGGGACGATACTTGCACTGGCGATGGTGTTTAATCAGATATGAATGTATCGTCTTCACATAGCTATGTTTTGTTCAGGTCTGATTTTATATCAATTAGAAATACTCCCTCGCAGGTAAGTCACAAATTCATTAGACCCTCCTTTAATATTCAATATCTTTATGGTGCATTAGTGCGAAAAAAGTATGCTAATCTTTACTTTCAATCCTTTCTCTAAAGGAAAACACGTCACAATTTTGAACTGCAGGGCGTTTCTAAATTTAAAACTTCCCATTAACTTGATGAAGCTCAATAAACTCAGCCGACTTGATTCAATTCAGCGTTAGACATCGAGTTGATAACAACGTTTCGCTATTCAAAGAAGTCCGTTGTTGACTCATTTACCCGTGAAGAACATTCAGGTGAGTCTCTTGATGCATAACATGTTTATTTATCAGACATAGTTTGATGCTACTCTGGTTTGCAGATTTAATGAATGTAACTGAAAAAGCTACAATTCATAGACCCAACGTTTCGACACTCCTGTCTAGTGCCTTCATCAGGGGTGATCTAAACGCTGCAACAAGAGGTCCTTTTATATGATCACTGATTAGCGGCCTTTTTTCTGACGAGGTGTAAATAGGAAATGAAGCGGAGCGCCTCTTGTCGCATTTGAATTCAGTAGAGCCGTCGATCCAATTCACCCTTGAGTGCGAAAAGGATAGACATTTGCCCTTTCTTGATTTAAAAACCTATGGATCCAGTCACGAAAGAACAACGAACCGACGCCATTTATTCTATTCCTTGCAATGACTGTGACAACGAATACATCGGACAGACCAAACGTCAGTTTGGTACACGGTTAAAAGAGCACCAAAAAGTGGTTTTTCTTTGCAAAAAGGAAAATTCAGCTTTATCGGAGCATACATGCCTAACCAACCATACAATTGGGTGGGATATGTTGAAGTCCTAAATGTAATAACTTTCCTAAATGTAATAAAGTCCTAAATGTAATAACATTTGGTCCTAAATGTAATAAAGTCCTAAATGTAATAACGTTTAGTCCTAAATGTAATAAGCCTCCAATGCAATCGTTTAACTCCTTCAGTGCATTGTTATTATGGCGGACATCCACAATGAGATGTTAAAGTGACAGCTGTTGCACCAAAAAACCGCTGACCAGTATACATGTCACATTACGGGCTCGCTGATATAAATCAGCGTCTTTCTACTTGCTAGACATAAGAAATATCAGTAGTCGAAGTATGGTCCTTAAAGCGGTCTATTGATCGAGTTGAAGAAAATCATTTTCAGCCCAAAGTGGGCTAGTGCTTGGCTGGAAGCTTAAAAGAATGGAATCGATTGGTACGTAATCATTAAGACTTTTTTTGACAAGAAATTGAGTACAATTGATGATGAACTAGCATGCTATTGTTGATGTTATCGTTCGTGTTAAATCTTTAGTAGTGATGCACCATTTTAGAGCAGTTTGAATGATTTCGCTGTGTCACATGTTAATCCAAAAGAAAATTATTATTATCAGTAGTGTTACTGAAATTTTGCACATCAATGTTATTCAATGTCAATTGATTTTAATGAAGCATTTGGGTTCATTCTTAAGACTGACTATCCTGATTTATTCAATTTTGAACCTGAGATATTGCATTTCTAGCCCTCTATGCCTTTACTCCACCTCAGTAATCAGTTCATGTACCATATGACTAAATGGAAACTGTTGAGCTTTCTTTTTCATTCATCTATTTATCTATTCATTTTCTCCCCTCACGGCGGGGAGAAGAGATGACGACAAAAAATGAAATATAAACTCGAGATCAACTGTAAAATATATGTTTTCCCAATACTTCGGTTCGGGAACTGATGAACCTGTCATAAAGGGCTAAAGGAAAAAAAAATGAATGGTTGATTAGACCATCAACTGACCATCTTGTGTTAAATATTGTAGTTCAATGGTTCAATTTTACTCTTGCGTGGAAAAAAGGCAACATGTCGAGACCAAGGTTGTATGGTCAAGATTTCTGGGTATTAGCCTCGTTCTCTTTCTACTTTTTTATGGACCGAGACTTCGGTAAAATCGCAAAAAAAAGAACTCGGCCAACATCCAGCCATTTTGACCTCACGCTTGATCAAAACGCATATGAATATATTTTATGCAGACCCATACAATTCTGGCAAGGGAAGAGAGTTCAAAAAATGCACTTCCGAGCCCGGAATTTTTCTAACACATAAGTCGATGGACTTCCTTTTCCTTGTAATTCGGTTCATGAGGTGTTAACTTCAGCACTGATGACAGAAGTATATCGTCAAAATCTGTCACACTTAAGAGTCTGAGCCAATGATATAAAGAGAGCTATTGGTCAGCGTTCTCATTGCTTTTACGTCCGTTAATTTGCTGCCAAAAGCACATTAGTATCAGTATAAGGTTTTGTAGCCAATGCTTCTCAATCTACGTCTTTAGCAAATAAAAAGACGCTGATTCATATCAGTGAGCCCGCAATATGCCATGAATACTGGTCAGACGATTCTTTGGTGCAACAGCTGTCACTTTCACATCTCAATGTTAGCGCAGTTAAACGATTGCATAGGAGCCTTATTACATTTAGGACCGAACGTTATTACATTTAGGGCTTTATTACATTTAGGACCAACTGTTATTATATTTAGGACTTTATTACATTTAGGATAGTTATTACATTTAGGACTTCTACAGGATAATTCTAAAATTATCAGCACTAATCGGCGTTACCACCGGCGCCTTTGTTTGGAGGCTTGGCATATTACCTTTAAATCGTGACGATGGCGGTTTGCTTCCTGACGCCTATTTACACCTCGTCAGAAAAAAGGCCGCTAATTAGTGATCATATAAAAGGACCTCTTGTTGCAGCGTTTAGATCACCCCTGATGAAGGCACTAGACAGGAGTGTCGAAACGTTGGGTCTATGAATTGTAACTTTTTCAGTTACATTCATTAAATCTGCAAACCAGAGTAGCATCAAACTATGTCTGATTGTCCACCTGGTTGCCGTGTGAACTTTAATCTATGTTCATTTATGTACACTCTTTTTTATTATAAGAAATATTAACTTTTGGCTGAGGCTGAATGTTCCTTATTTTTTGTGACTCGAGCCTGAACGGTACGTGGTACAGAATGTCATTAACTTAATTTCGACGTGACAAGGAAACCTACAAAATGAGTTGCTCTTCAGTGTATCATGCGATAAGAAAACCGCAATATTAGTTTGAAAACAAAATCCCTAAAAATTGTTAGATCAAAGTTCAAACAAAAGAAAAAAAAAAGAAGAAAAATAAAGACGTTCTTAGCTGACTTTCAGGCTAGGCAGTTCTTATATGTTGAATATATGTTAATATCAGCCTAAGGTTTTTTTTTATAAAAAAATGTTCTTACAAGAAAAGAGTGTAAAGTAAGCGCTTACTTCTTTTCCTACATTTGGGTTTTTAAACTCAGCGAATAATACGGCTCAAAGGCTGTCTGAGATACAAGGACTAAAGCCAAGTTGTATCACGATATACTTTTTCTTCAACTGAAATTTTCGCTGTTATTGTGCACAATCTAGCAGTAAAGTTCAATTTGTCTTTCTTGAAAGTGACCTACAGAGCACACTTTCGAACTGTAATGATTCAATTTATTTATCTTTAGTTGTTTCTGTTACCTACAAGCTATAGGCAACCTAAGAATGTGTGCATACGTCTCAACTTGAGGCTGGTTCAATGGATTTTTAAATAAGTAGAGAGGCTCTTTTTCTCACGCGGATGGAGAAGCATCGTTATGAATTGGCAGAGCGATCTGTTCAAGACAACTCTTTCTACAGTGACCCAAATTTCAAAATAGATCATTACAGAAAGCTGTATCGAAAAGCACAGGTTTTTTTTTAGAAGCATTGAAGATCATCAAAATTGAAAACATACTGACCGGCAAACACTCTGTGTGATCTTTCTCGTAAGCTTTGTTACTTTCTTTAAAACCGCGGCGGTGTTTGAATCATTAGTGTAGTTATTTAAAAATCAAGTGGTTTTTGATCCCAGCAGATTACTATGGACTCAGTAGTGATGTTTATTGGCCTGATACAAGTTATATTGGTCTTGTGGATTGTAACACCTTGCGAGAGTGATGTTTGCAGCCAAAAAATCTGTCAATGTACCAATTTCGGTAGGACCCGCATGGTAGTTAAATGCCAAGTTCATGGATACATTCCGACTGGAATCCCAAGCAATACAATTGAACTGTAAGTGATTAAAAAAACTAAACCTTTCTTCAGAAAAGGAACCGAGTCATGGTTTGAGCTAGGTTTGCTATTTGAAAGCAATGTTTGGTTTATCTGTTGAATTAAAAAAAAAAAAAAAAAAAAAAAAAGCACATTTAAAAATTTACCAGGCAATAACACCCATCTGTAACCTTTGTTTAGTTTTCTGAAATATGTTTTTCTTACCTTTTTAGCGTAGCTTCATGCTTTTAAAATGATACAAGTGTTGCAACTAATTTTATTTTCAATTTCTTCATTAGGAAACTTTCGAGTTGTTCCTTAAAGTCGATTTCAGAAGACTCCTTCAGGAACCTAACTGTTTTAAAAATACTGTAAGTAAATAATTTTAAAATATGGGATAGATTCAGCTTAAAATTAATAGGCTGGTATATTTATTGTTATTGTTATCATAATTATCACTATCATCGTTGCTATTATTATTTTAAGCTTTTGTGAAATTTAATAACCATTAGACATGTATTGAAGGGAAAAACAAAATAGTGTAAGCTTCGCTGTTAGTATTACAGATCCTTGCGCGATGATATATTTGCAATAACGTTTACAATATGTATGCCTACCTGTAATAGAAATTTGATGACAAGCTTGCCTTAAAAGAACTTAAAACCCGAATAAATCTTCTAGCGCAAACAAACAGTCATTTGACTACTAGGCGCTGCTTGGAATTTCAAAAACAATGAAAATTTGTCAAAACACTTAGTCTGAAGTCACACATGAGAATTCTGAAAGCAGAGTTGCGAAGTTGACCAGACATTAAGCATTCAGATACCTACCACAAAACAAAAGAAAATAGGGATTTTTTTTTATGGAGAGACTTTCAGAGTTTTAGCACTAGGAGATTTTACTGATTATCTGTAAGCTTCTTGAAAAAAAACAAAAACAAAACAAAACAAAACTATATTAACCAATCTGAATGAAGAATTTTTTATTATTTACTTTCATGTACAAATGTGCAAATGGAGTGCAGTAAAAGGAAGCAAATTTTGCATGTATTTAAATTCGGCAAGCTTTGATTATTAATTGTGATAAACTTTTTCATTCTAGTGACTTGTCGAATAACTTATTTCGACGCATTCCCCACAACACTTTCAGGAATATGGATAAGCTGGAAATAGTGTAAGAATGCGTTTATTTATAATGAATGAGTAGGTTCATATGTTTGTCCGGTTAAAAGCATTTTTGTCCGCAAATTTTCATAAAATCTTGTCAGCTCCTGTGTTTTCGCTAATCCCAATCCCTTTAATTTATAATTGCGAATCTATTTACTGCTTCAAAATCTTAAGCTAAAAGTAACTAAATATATAAATTTTAGATTAACGATGTGATATGCAATTTCTGAGCTTCATATTTTTGGAACTTACAATTGTTTCCCTAGAAATCTTGCCGACAACCTAATTTCAGGGAGTTTCTTCCTTCCGGAAAGTGTATCTCAACTGTGAGTTTTGTTAACGATATATTTTTGAAAAGATAGAAAAAACGTATTAAAACTCGCAACTGATTTTTATCCTTACATTAAATTGTACCTTTTTCGTCAGATCGCCACTTTTTTTCTTTACATCGCAAGCAAACACAGAAGACCTTCGATAAATGTAATGCAAGCAAATATGAATTTCCTCTTTCTCTCTAAAAAAAAGACCGTCAGGTCTGCACTTTAAGCTGTTAGTTAATGTGAAGGAATCAAAATAAAAGTGAACTTGTCATCTTTTTGTCCTTTGCAAAGTATTTACCCAGTATATGGAGAGAAAATTTACGGTGTTTGCTGGCTTATGTCTCTTACCTAACGGACTTTTTTCAAAATGTTTTAAAACTTAGTAAATTCATTAAAAGTCAATGTTAAATATTTTACTTGCATAGCGTTATCACACACAACTTTCTGTCAAGTACTGACGCAAAAGTCATTCTCAAAGGATTAAAACGGCTTCGAAAACTGTAAGTACGACCTTTTATCCTGTTCCACATGCTTAGAGAATCAATAATATATGTCGTACAAGTAAAAGGAAAAAAAAAGACAACTATGAAAGATATAGGGAAGTTATGGAAATATGGACCTATAAGCCTAGTCCAAGATCCAGTTCTCGTGAACTCATTGCCAGCGAATCAGAGCGGGGTATCTAAAAGTATTGGTTTAAATATTTAATGAAAAATTCATTTTTTCCCTATAGTTCCACGCTTGTGATGAAAATAATAACTGCTTTCTCTGTTTCTAAGTTCAAGCTCAAAACTTACCATGTTTCTTCCATAACTATCGCAATTTCCTAACTATCAATATCTTTTTTTTAATTATATATATCATCGATCGCAGTTACTCATCTTGAATTGAAGAAATGTAAAATGGTTTCCATGTTTACACAGCCTGATGTAAACACGCGGGAGGTTGGGAGAACAAGAGTTAAGCGTGAAAGATGAACGAAAACCGTGTTTACATACGCTCATGTAAAATGGTTTTATGGCCAATCAGAGCGCGCGTACTATTTGAATTATTTTATAAACTTAGTTCCTGTCTATACACCAAACGGTCAAACGTTATCTAACAAGGATATCCTGCTCATTGTGCACTTTTACAGGAATATTGATTCAAATCCACTTGGACCTACTTTGCCATCCGACTTCTTCGCTGGCTTTAATAAGATGGAGCTTCTGTAAGTTAGTAGCTCTAGAAAATTCTCGAATGATTTCGAAACTTGTAACAAAAACGCCGTGTGCGAACGTGATCAGTCACGTGCATGCTTGACTACTCTCTCACTATTCCTTTTAGATAACGTCCCTTGTTTTACATAGTTTAAACGTTTTTGCTCAACTTTTAGCTTCCGAATGTTGTTTATTTAGCCAACTGATTTGTGCTCCTTTGGGTCGATTCGGCTTTTTCTTTTTCGACAAAGTGGCCATACCGATAACTGCGCCTGAAACTTAACTTTTCACCGGAACATGTTCCGCACGAGTTACAGTCAATTTAATAAAGCTGGATCAACATAGAAAGTTGCGTTATTTTCTCGCGGGTTCAATTTTACAAAGAATGAAAACAACAAACTTTAGATGAAATACATGCTTTTCACCTCTTTAGAGGTTGGCTGCCATCCTGTACACAAAATTGTTTTAAACTACCCCTTCAATAAATTCTAAAAACTCGTAGTTCCCCCTCGCGATCCAGCTCTTTCAATAAAAATCTTGACTCCTGAGATATGACTTAGGAATGTTGTTGGTACTTTGGCTGAAAAAACAAAAAAACAAAAAAACAAAACGGCATTGAAAGTGACAGAGAATTCATTAGTGATAGACTTGTCTCATAAATCCGCTGTCAGAACTTTCCATACTTACATTGTTTGGCAGTTTCCCCTACTCTTTCCTTCACTTCAAACTATTTCTCGACTTTTTTTTCCACAGTTCCATGAGTGGGTGCCACCTTGAAGATATCGAAAATGGAACATTTAAAGCCATGCAAAATCTTACAGAACTGTGAGTAAATTTTTTCTTAGATATTATTATTGATTTTTCAGATGTCCGAGCGATCGATTATGCGCGATATGTATCGTGAGAAAAGCGGTCTTAAAGTTATATGTACATAATTAACTAGATCAAGAAATTGTGTGTTATGTTCTGTTATGCAAACACTTCTCTTGACGTTTGACTTAGGCAGTCTTAGCAGGTTTATTTTGCCGAAACTTTTCTAATCCCGACCAGCCACAAGTCATTATACATTTGTCCGTTTTTAGTGATCTGTCCTTCAATAAGCTGAATCATATACACAAGGGTACAGTAGAAGGACTTACGGATCAGCTGACAAATCTGTAAGTAAATCGTCGTTAAGGAACACCGTTCTTTGCATAATAATAAGAACTTACTAAAAAGAACTTTTCAAGAGACCTCGATCGTTTCTATGGACAGTGGTCTAAACCACGGATAGCACTTATGGTACTCGCCTTATTTATTTCACATTTGAATAGATAGGCTGATTGACTTTCATATGCATCAATGCAAAGCAGAGGCAATACGACCCTTCTTCCTCCCTTCCCCCTCGCCTCCACACAAAAAAAGGAGGAAAAGAATGATTTTGACTCTTCTAACAACTGATAGGTTCCTTCACGGAAACGAATTAGAGACCATAGGTGATGGAACGTTTAAACAGTTTAAAGTTCTCAATAGATGGTAAGTGAGACTCCAAGTGCAAGATAAGCAGATACTTTAAACCTGAAATACTTATATTAATATCAATAGGATATGAACAATTTTTTTTTTACGGCCATGTGGCCCTAAAGGCATCTCGCCCGAAGTCATGTTGCCCTAAATCTTGAGTCATGTCACCCAGTTTTTTTTCAATCACAAGTAAAAACATCAACATGACATATATTGCTTTGTTCGACGCTTGATCAGGAGTAGCGCTAAATAGTCGTAAATTCACAATCAAACGCAGAAGATTAAATAATGTATGACAGGAAAAAGAGGAAGAAAAAAAAGATACTGAAGAAATGACACATTTTTCTGATTCGACATGACAGCTTGAAGTGGGTTAAGTTTCAACGTATTGCGGTAAAGATGTCATGAATTAAAAACATCCGGAATTCTGCTATTTTAAAAGTTATCTTTGAGTTTGCACTGAAAACGTTTTGCCATGTTTTAGATACTATATCCTGTAGCTCCTTGTTTGTTGACCATATATGATCGAGGCCCTGAGAAGGACATTGCTTATTGCTAAGAGAAACACGATAGCGTACTGTTCATTTGCTTTTTTTTCTGTTGTTGTTTGTACGACTTCTACAGCATTCTTCGAGAGAACAAACTAACATCTGTACCAGATTTGAAAGGTCCTAAGGTTATTGTACTTCTGTAAGTATGGTGCGCCGATCAATTCTTAGCTTCAAATCTCCCCCCCCCCCCCCCTTCCTTCCCTCCTGGCCATCCACGGTCATTTGACCGTTGCCAGTGCCCAATGGGGTTGGGAAACCTTGCCTTGCTGGGGTGGGCAATTTGAACTAGAAGTGTTGAGTCTTTCGTGTGGAATACAAGTGTTCAATCTTTAAAATATGGAGGTGCACGTTTTGGGCAAATAGTTCACTTTTGCGAGCGAATTGCTTAGAAGAAAAGATGTACGAAGTGTAGGCTTTAAAGATTGGTCAATATGTAGAAAGTCTTGGTTGCTGTGCAAAAAAAAAATAAAAAAAAAATAAGTGGGCATTTGAACATAACTTTTGCTCCGGGAGCGGGAATTTGAACGAACTAATCTTCAAAAGTTCAAAACCCGGGGGTGCCTGGGGAGGATGTTGAAGCTTCGATTCATTGACGCATAACCTTGTAATACGTACTATTCTTAAATTGCAATAACTGTTAGGATTTGATAAGATAACAAATGATTACACAGCCTCCAGAGATTACAAACTGGTTTATAATCTCTGAACACCCTTTAACGACAACTGGTAAAGATGGTTATTGTAACATTTCCTTCTATTGCAAACAAAAACTACTCCGCGTCTTCTTCAAAAGCTTATCACAGGGTGCCACAAATTGAGACTAGGTTCAGTTCAAGGTGAGCGTCGATTCAGAAGATCTTCAACAGTACACAAATATGACGTGTTCAAATGATTCTAATTGAAAGACTTCGCTCAAGTATCAAAGGTAGTACAAGGAAGAAAATTCAAATAAGTTTTCACAATTTTTTAAAGTTTTGTTGTGCTTTTTGCAGGCAATTAAATAAGAATCGGATCAAAGATATATCAAGAATTGCAACATCTGGAATTAAACACCTCTTTGAGCTGTAAGTATACAAGTGACTTTCTGTGAGTAGACGTTTCCAATTTGTTTCATGCAGTAAATTCTTGTGATCAGATTCATTGGTGCAAGCGTGATCCATATTCCCAGTCCGTGCCGATGCCATGCCTGTTTGCATTACAGCGTGGTAGATCGAATTTCCCCTTACAGAAAATTCAAACGAGCGCCATGAATATCTTACAAAACAAATTGGTTCAAACGTCAGCTACGACATAAAGCACGCGCAAAGATTTGTCAGCAACCAAGAACCTACAGTTGACACCGACCTTTTTTTCGTGCATTCAATATTCCCTGCGTGCTTCATATCATTATGAATGCACGCTGGTACAAGAAACAATATCTATAGCAATAAGGTTTATCTTTCCTCAAATTTAGGTGCAATAATTATATTCTTTCTTACGTTTTAGAACATCATTTTGGACTTTCGACATCGAGTAGTTTTCGGAGATAAAGTTAGCGATGATTCGTCGAAAGCAATTACGTTAATAAAAAGTAAAAGATGCAAAATTCAGGTTTTCAAAAGATCAAGAGCGCAATTTGGAGTAGATGAGTGGGCAGTTTTCAGGCTTTATTCCTAATAATATACATGAAGAAATTACTTAGTTCTGATTGGTTAAGATAAATGCAGTTTTCAGGTATTTCAGTGCAGAAGAGGGTTAATTCAGTGCAGAGAAGTATAACAAACCAGACATTCTGATTGGTCAGTAAACAAAGAAACTCATAGACAGCCAATCAAGTGCGAGCCTTGGATTTCGCAACATTTGGATACGCTGAAAATTTGCGAGCAAAACAATGGTCGGCAGGTTTTCTTTCGCCACCGCAACAACAATACAGTAGCTGAGAAACAGCTCTAACAACGAAAACATTGTAAAAAGCAATGCTCTTTGGTTGTAGGTTTGGAAAAAGTGGTGTTCGGAGAAGGAAATCGAAAGTTACGAGCCGACCCAGCTTTAACACTAAACTCGAGCGATTCTACGCCAAAACTAAACACAAACATGGTAAAACCTCGCAAACGACATTTCATCGAAAGTGATTCGGACATACTGAACAATTCCTTGAACTATTTAGCCGGACATTGAACTTTTTTGCACCTTAAAGATGTGAAAATATCATGGTGTATTATTCTTTTTATTGTACGCGGTTGTTATGACCGAACGCACAAAGTCACTTGCATGGTTTGAGTAAATTATTTTTGCACTTGAAGTGTGCGCTTTGCTTCTGCATGATTATGATAAGCTATCTTGTATTTTTTCATGTAAATTATTAATACGTAATCAAATGATTTTTCTCGTGCAATGTTGAATATATAAGTACCTGTTAATTTTTTCAAAGACCACAAATTGCATTCGCCCTACGGGCTCGTGCAATTTTGTTAGTCTTTGAAAAAAATTTACAGGTGCTTATTTATTTCAAATTGCACTCGAAATCATATGATTATCTATACGAATTGCACGTGAATGATTCTTTATTACCTATAACATAATAATTACGCAAAAGCAAACAGCTTATCACGTGCAAAACTGATTCACTCATAATTTGCAAATGCTCTTGTGTTTCAGTCAAAAGAGCTATGTTCAGTCAAAAAAAAACGATATTCTATTATGCTTCTTTATGGTCATTAATTTTGATATCAGAAGCCCAGATAAACATTCTCTTGGCTCTTTTCGAAGTATTAATTTCATACTCTGTATTTCTTTTCTTATGCATTCTTTTATCAAAACAAAAGCATTTCACAAGTCAATCAGTTTGAGGTATTTTTTTCTTATTCCTATTGCGTAAAGCTTAACGTCCCTCAATATTATGCCTATCGAATAAACTTTTAAGTTTAAAAACAAATAACACTTTTATCTTGTAGGTTGTTGTCTAGCAATGAAATCGATTATCTTCCACCAAACATATTTCAAAATATTTCCATAGTGGGATCAATGTAAGTAAGATTTAATGTAATAGCAGGCAAGGAAAGTCAAATCGAGACATCTTTACCACAAATAAATCCATGAAGCTCCTATAGTTTTTGTCGGGGTTTACCCTCTGAATGATGTTTAACCAGTTACGATAGACTTTCCTGGGTTTTTCTTTACTTTGAACGGGTTCATCTGTTCATGGATTTTTATACTGGTCATGTAACGCTTTTGAGTGGTATACCATAGAATATCCCACGAGTTTTTGTATTTTCTCGGTATATGCATACCCCTCTGATCTCCGTCGACCTTTCGAATCTCTCGATAATTAAGTGATAATGGCATAGTAGTCATCCAATTAGGCTGGGGGAATTTCCGCCAGACCTCTTTCCTTTAAAAATGAGGTAGTTCTTGATTTAAGTCGACAAACTTGCTTCCATCCGAACTCGTTTTCTTCACTGCTCTTAAGTTTCTTCGCCTTTCAACGAAAACATCAACTTCTTGATCAGTCAACTATATCTTTTTGGTTAAATATTTATTTTTACTGAGTTTTCGACCTCATGAATTAACGTCCTGGGAATATTTGGCTCTGACACGGCTCAAACAACACCTAAAATAAACTGGAAACGCCGCCACCGCTTGCTGAATTTCGGCAGAATAAGATCGGAAAGGGCGGCTGCAATACTGTCGAATATACAACTGATTTCTTTTATTCTGGTTGGTTGTATTTTTAATAGCATGGTACCAATAGCTATAGAAGTAAATGCTGTAGATGCGTCTGTTTCTTATCCCTAATCTTATTCATGTTATCTTCCTTATAGTGACTTGTCATTCAACAAATTGCGGTCCATACCAGATGGCTTATTCAATAAGCTTGGAACATTACAAATTCTGTGAGTAAATATTCAGCGCACTTTTCCCAAATTTATGATAAATTGAATCATGTTGTTAGCAGCAATATCCTATTGGAGAAGAAACATTGCTATTTGCCCTCCTCCCTTAAAACCAGCCACAGAAAAACGCTGCAAGTCTTTTTAAATTAACGCTGACTGATTCTACTTTTTGCATAACTGTCATTTGCTTTCTGGGAGGTTGTTTAATATAAAACTTCGATCCGATGCCGCAAGCCAAATTGTGACTAATCAAAAAGTGATATTCTTATTGATATTACTACTATTATCATCATAACCATTATTATTGTTGTTCAAACGGTACAATTGTTCACAATGCTCTTTTTTTCTAAATCAAGGATGATTAGCTTCAACAACATCTCCAACATCAGCAATCGCACCTTTGAAGGACTTTCAAGCTTGAAGACACTGTAAGCTCCCTTTTGGTTTTTCATGTCTGTAATCCCACCTGACTAAAAAACACACTCATTAATCAATAAATCGCATCTTGGTTTTTATTTATGTATTTATTTCGTTATTCAATCATATTACGTCTACAATCCTTTCTTAAATAGCTTTTGTGTTTAATACTCTTTTCCAATTTACAGCATGCTGATAAAAAACAAACTGACATTTATTTCCAACGGTGTTTTTGATGAAACTGCTTTGCAATCAGTGTAAGTACATGTACGTTTTATAATGTTAACGTATATCCTGGAATAGAATAAGATAACAGAATATAATATTCAAGGAAACTAGTAAAGTAAAATAGAGGCTTCATTGTAATACACACGGGGCATGATATATGGATGACGACGCCTATATGTCAACATGGTTTGAACCACGTAGTCTCTGGGTTGAATTAGTAGAAACTGAGAAAAATTCAACCATCCAATAAACATGAATGTTTCAATGCGTAACATAGATTGCAAGCGCTGAGTCCTGTTGTGTTAACAATATGAGAAATTTGACTTGTTTGGGTTTGTTTTGTTTTGTTTAGTTTTTTGTCATCATTTCTTCCTTTATATAGTTTTCTTCACAGTAATGCCATCAAAACGATTGGAAGTGAATCCTTTAGCAGACTTAACCTGAAACAACTGTGAGTAAATTGAAAAATAAAGTGAAGTTTTAAACGCTACAGTGAAATGTATTAATCAAGCTTACCACTTTGGCTTCAAGAGGATCATTGATTTGTTTTTTATTAATCCTTTACACCCTTAGAGTGAATATTCTCCAAACTGTTTTCTATACGTTTTGTAAGGTGCTGGTAAGGAGAATCTGTTTAACAATTAAGAGCTTTTTCAGTTGGCGATCACCTCCATTCTTCTCCCGACCTAAGTGTTTAATTCAGGGATGATATTGTTAGGAGAAATTGGATGCTAGTCACTCTAAGGGGTCAAAGGGTAAATTTTGCACAAAAAACGGTAACCACATCAACCATATGATAAGAAAAAAAAAACCATGTCTCTATAATTATGTGTAAGCTTGAATTAATCATTAACTTTATTATTGACATTTTTTTCAGTACTATCTTTGATAATCCTCTACACTCGTTACCAGATGGAATGTTCGACAAAATGGACACCGAAACCAAAGTGTAAGTGAATCCAAAGCACTCATTTGAATATTTTAAAGGTGACTATCGCTTTTCGAAAGGCCACATCTTGATTTAACGAAGATCGTCAAGGCTGAAGGAGAGATTAATAAGCTTTTAAATCTATGCTGACCTCAATGTTGTTTCTCCATCTGTTAATTTTCGCATAAGGATATGCGATTGCTTATTGGTTAACGCACCGGACTCAAAATTGAATAGACTGGGTTCGAAACAAGCTAAGCGAGTTCATTATATGGTGTTCTCGAGCGGGAGATTCTACTCCATAAGTCTCCTTACACCTATAAGAATAAATTTACATTTGAAAATTGGGCAAATGGGGTTAAGGTCCTGGAGAAACTATGGTGCTGCGTGGGTGAGGGTAGGCGGGAGGGAGGCGGGGGGGAGACGGGGGGGAGAAGGGGTAAGCTGACGTTGAGAGCATTGGCCCATCGGCAGATGGAATGCTCGTCCCTTTACAGTACAAAAACCGCGATAAACGACCGCCGTTGGTGGGGACCACAGATCTAAAGAGTATCGCTCCTGCAATTAAAATTATCATCAAAATAATCTACAGATCGTTGACATGTAAAAACCTTCTTCAGCTGCCGAAAGGACAGTATCAGTCTGTAATGTGAGTAAACCTAATGTTGACGTTTTAAGATGACTTATTTCATATATCATATCTTGGCATCTGTACTATTAGATTCATTGTTTCCAGACGATAGGCGCTTAAGTCAGGAGCCCATAATGGCTCCTGCTAAAGTCTACTGAATTGAGTATTTGATATAATTAAAATTTCAATTGCTTTCAATATTTTGCTATTTTCTTAAACTTAAGTGACTGTGCCCCCTCCACTACATTCAATATACTTTTGACCGGAGAACAATCTAGCTACAGTGGTGGCCTGGAAAGTTCAGGCTTTGAGTGCCATTCCTGTGGGCCTCATCCCAGTGGCTCCAGATGTCGTAACTGCTCTCTTTGTCAAGTTGGTTATTTCATGCACGCCAAACAGATGTGTGTCAAGTGTCCTGCAGGTGACAAAAGACATTTAAAATGCTTCATGTCATAGTTAATTAATTTTAGAACAACAATAACATTACTAGAGAAAATTCTAGCCGTTGTTAGTTACGTTCTTTTAATAGAAGAGGTCTCAAGCTCGGTCACTCCGAGTGCTTGTATCCTAACTTAAATTTTCCCTCTATCCCATTGTCGTTTCTTTTGCTCTCGTTTTTAAAGTTTTCATCCCTGCCTTCTTTTTTTCATTAGTTGGTTCTGCGTATAAAGTGAGCTGGTGCCTGTAGGGCCACTGCCAATAAGGCCAGTTTTCACTCATAATCAGTTTTATGTCGTTGCATCCTTACTTCTTACATAATATCTGGTGGCTACCGTTTCATTTCCGTTGTGGTTTCATTTCCTGTTTTACTTACGTTGCGTGTCACGTGACAATTTCACGTGCTTTGACATTTTGGAGAGAGTTTTACCTTCGTGTAGCTGTTTTGGTTCGCAAAACAGTTCTTTAACGTGATTGTGATTGTGATCGTGATTGTGTTATTGTACGTTATCTTGTGACGCTACATAGGCATTAAAGGCGAGAGCTACATCTCTTCACAGGTGGTTTTTATCAGGATGAATTGGGACAAGTTGATTGCAAAAGATGCAGCATTGGTACATTTGTGTCTGAAACGCGACATCCTGGGACAAGTCCTACGGACTGTGTGGCATGTCCATACGGTAACTGATGTTTTGTCTCTGAGACACTCTTAAAATTTTTCACCATGAAAACTTCTCCCTGCATGACATTCCATGTGTGGTTCATTGCGTTGCAGAGAAAAGAAATACTTTTCTTCTTAATCCAAAACGGAAACCGCCGGCAAATTAATTTCTCGCCAGTCTGGGTACCGCTGGACGCCATTTTGCGTCCGGAATTAGAACCTATCCTTGAAGCTAATTCCTAACTAACTGTAAGCGGTTTGATGGGTTGAATTTATTTTTAAGATTGGTTTTGCGCCTTTGTACCAAATAATGTGTATACACTATTTATCTAAATTGCAGGTACCCTCTCCAACGAGACTGCGGAATATCGAGCATGCAGATGCCTTCAAAACTTTTATCGGTTGGATCGTTTTGGTCCGTGCTCAGCATGTCCACCACACGGTTTTGTTTGTGAGAAAGATACAGCAGTACTTGCTCCTAACTTCTTCTGGAAATGGTCAAATCAGTTTGAAAAAGAATTCTTTAAAGGTTTTGTTAATAACATCCACTCTTCTAAACAAGACTACGACAAGTTATATTCTACGTTTAATACTTTACTTCCAAACCCACTCAAATGTCCTTATGCCAGGTCTTGCGAGGGTGGAATCGACTCTAAATGCCACCATGGATATAAAGGAGTTCTGTGTGCAACCTGCTCTAACGGCTTTTATTTCCGATTTCACGCTTGCTTGAAATGTCCTCGGTTAACTGTAACAGTTACTTCGTCCATCTTGGTAATTTCTCTTTTTGTTGCTGTGTTTCTAATGGTTCTTTGGGGTGACTCCAAACGTGCAGAGAATAACCGGACGGTTGCAGATGTCGTCATGTCGTGCTTTAAGATTGTGATTGGTTTTTACCAAGTCATTGCTGGAATTTTCTCGGCATTAGCGAAAGTCCAGTGGCCAGTCATTTTGTTCTCAACGGAGAAGGTTCTAAAAGTGTTTGAAGGGAACATCTTGCAGTTTGCGCCACTAAGCTGCATTCATTCTTCCCTGCGTCTCGATGAGCTCGGAAAGTTCACAGTGATCGTTGCTTTAAATGTCCTACTTGTCGGCTTGATTTGCCTTTATCTTTTCGTTAAAAGAAGCTACATTATAAACAAAACCGACCGTACCGAAAGCCAAAAAATGAGGGAAATTAAGAGTTTGAAGAAATCTTGCTATCGGAACATTTTCCTATTGTTGTTAACGACCTACCCCACGACGAGCAAGTCGATTATTCAGATTCTACCTCTTCCCGGTGCGTGTGTAGAAACGTGTTTCTCAAACGAAAAGCTCGACTGTATCTTCCTGCTGAGAGCTGACTACTCAATCAAGTGTTTCACTCCTCGCCACAGCTTGTATTGGCTCATGGCCTCTCTTCTGGCATTATATCCCGTAGGATTTCCACTTTTGGCTTTGTTTCTCATTTACAAATATCGTGAGTCCCATGAAAACGAAGCAGTCTCTTTCGGGCTCAGAGTGTTCTTTGAAAACTACAAGAAGAAATTTTGGTTTTGGGAGGTCACAGAGATGTACCGCAAACTGATATTGATCTCATTGATTTTCCTATTTGGATCTAAAAGCCTTACTCAAATCGGTCTCACAGTTCTGACAGCCAGCGTCTTTGGAGTGCTCTACACCGTATTCCGACCAATCAAGGACAAGTTTGAAGACCGCTTACAAACATTTGTTCTTTGGATAATTTTCTTTGATGTTTGCCTAGGCGCTGTTTACACAAACTGGGATGAGAGTCAGGGAGAGGACAAGAACGACTCCATCTTCGTAAATTTCCTGTTTGTGGTCCTTAACGCTTCTGTATTGTTATTTGCCATTGGTAAGTCATAGTGCTGCTCTTTACGTTTTATCAATTAATTTAACTTCACATTCACAAATATCAAAAGTGCAAATAGCAATTACCGGGACGTTTTAAGGAAGTGGGATGTCTAAATGTCGTTTCTGTGCAATTTAGTATCATATGTTGTGTATATTTAGGCATTTCCACTTTGTTTTTTCATATTGCTTCATATTTTATCATTCCCGTTTTTAGTTATGTTATCACTTAGAACTAAGTGTTTTTGTATTCTTAGAGCAATTACTTCAGAGAAAATCTTGCATGTTATGGTATAAAAGCAATGAATGCAACATAGCTGGCACTCTTCGGTAGAAAGCTTACCAGTTATCGTTTGTCATACAAGCTAATTGGATTAGTAAATAATATTGGTTGCTCAGATCACTAAGTTGTCCCTCAGTCATTCAAGCAGTCGGCACGAAAACTGTCCATATATATCTTGCTTGAGAGTCATGCCTTATCAAGTGCTAAGAAAACGCCTCAGTGAATCTAATAAGCTTCTATTTCATACATACTGAGATTAATACTGTGAATTACTATTGTTCGTGTCTCTGATTGGACGAAAGATGTATTTTCACAATCGTTCGCTTCCCATCTTTGAAATGGATCGGTCATTAAGAAAAAATGACGAGAATGCACTCCCTCCCGTAGCCTGAGACAAGTCAAGAAGAATTGTTATTCAAAAAAAAAGTCAGAAAGCGCGTTATTGGGAAATTTTAGTTAACCTTAAGAGGTTTCTCGTTAACACTGTACATAGAAAAAAACAAATGTTACTTAATAATTGATTATTATGCTATTCTGTTCTTATCTTTAACTGCGTCAGGAAAGGGAATATCACATGTGAAGTTAATCCGCAAGTACTTTTCCTTCTGCCCGATGAGATGTTTCAATTTCCTTCGCCAAGGACTGGCGCTTCTTAAGAATAAAGCGGTCACCACAACACCTGAAGAATCATTCTTGATCTAGGATGGCACCTAAGAGCCTCGCCGATACATTTTATCTATACCGTTGTAACATATCTCGAAAAAAAAAACGACAACAATAACAATAAGAACAACACCAACAACAGAAACATAGTTGAGTTGGTTTACCTTGGACGGCTTGATTACTTCTTTCGCGTTATCGTTCATGATCAAGCTTTAACACCCCACCCCTCGGCAACTAAACGGCTTTTGACAGTCGTCCGTGCCCTAAGGGTGCGCAATTTGAACCTTGCCTAGCTGGATGGGAAATTTGAAACGGAAGTGTTTAGTCTTTCCATCGAAATACAAGCGTTATATCTTTAAATATCGAGGTGCTTAAATCTAAAGAATTAACTTTCGCCAGCGAAACCGGCTAAGAAGGAGAGGTGTGCAATCTTAAGGTATTAAAGCTTAGTCAATGTGAAGAAAGTCAGATCACGGTCGCCGATCTTGCATTTTACCCAAAAAATTGACTATTAAGTCCAGCACTTGGTCAGGGCATTTGAACACGATTCAGCCTGGCCCCGCATACGGGAAATTGAACAAATCAGCCTTTAAAAGTTCAAATGGCTGGAGTTTGGGGGTTGGCCAATGTACGGCTAAGAGTTAATATCTCTTCATTGCGGTCACCAGAATTTTTTTTCACCGTTTTCTTTTTTTAAGGGCTAACGGTTAAAATTTGTCATTATTTTTGCTTAATGGCAGGCTGTTCTTTTGGCCTTTTTACTGCTATCGGTTAACCTCATTGCGAGCCTTTTGAAGTTTGTTATCACAGAAATTGTTTCCTGTAATTTACTATTTTATGAAAATAATATTTTCAATTTAAGTATTAACATTAACTATGTTATTGATATTGGTGTTTACATTATCATCGTCATTTACTGACAAGAATGAGCGCACTAGTTCGTGTCTATATTTCTTTTAAATATTTTTCTTCGGTAGGTAAACTTGTCTTTTTTCTTCTTAATAATAATGTATCGCGAGTTAAAATTAGCTTAACGGCGGTTTAACCATTTCATAAAAAAATGGTGTATTTTACAACAGGGCAGACAATAAAATAATGTGAAAATAACGTGGAAATAATCATAAACCTATTGTAAGTGTGTAAAAGGACGAGAAATGGAATTATGCCATAGTTCTTGTACTGTTGTTCGGTAAAGTTTACACATATAGAGTCTATATACGCTTTATACTTCATAATTTTCATACTTCATACTTTCATCTCTATACCAATTGATAATCAAAGTGCTCTGTGAGCAAACTCGTGAATTGACAGATGACTTACATGATTTTTGGATTATATTTAATGTTATCTGGTTTAGGGAATTTTGTGGTTGATTGTCATATTTAGAGTACGAGCAGTAGTTCAGTGGTCGCTAATGTAGCAAAGAAACAAAGTAACGTTGGAATGAGAAGGCATTACAACTGAAATGATCATGCTATCACATTTGACAAGGGTGGATGATGTCATGTGTTTTAAACAAAATCATTTTTAATTCTCGTTCAAAAGAAAAGGTAGGAAGTAAATGTGGGTGGAAAGTGAAATTTACTGTCTATCATTGAAAATTGTGTAAAATCAGGGCAATACTGTCTAAATGAAAACATTAATGTTACTTTCTTTATCAAATAAGACAAACGGGAACGACTTTTGAGTGATATAACTAAGCCCAGACTACCACCGTAATTTTGGATTTCCGCCTGGGTAGATTTTTGGTCACGTGCTAGGCAACGTATGATCAAGAACTAGATAGAATTTCATTTTAGGCCTATTTATCAATTTTGTGGTGTATAACTTTCGCATTTTAGTACGTAATATTTATTTCGAATCTTCAAATTGCCTTGAAACTTAAAAGAAAATTGTTCTTTAAAAATTCACTGAAAATTGGTAGCCAAAATTATTTGTTTAGATGTTATTTGATTTTCGTGTTAACCTGTAATTTCGTCAGTCGCCGGCACCTTTTGTTACTTCACACAGGGAAAGCACACGATACGAAATGTAATGCTCGATTTTGTCCCCAAGCCATAACAGAAAAAGCTTTTGAACACCTGTAAACTCCGAGCCCTTTGGAGTAAGTGATATTTTTTAATGAATCTTCGGATTCTTTTCAAGTTCAAGGATTGTAAATTACAATTTTATGAAAAACGAAGGTTGATCTCTTATTTCAGTGTGAATCCTTGCACGCCTGCCAGTCTCTGGCGCCGCTTATTAAAACTAAAACGAAAACGAGATTAAATAGATACATTAGGAAGACTTATCTGTCGTGTTCTGTAGGTTACGAAGAACGAACCATGAAAGACTCTTACTTCAAAACAAACGATGCCAGTATATTCGCCAGGCTACACTCTGAACCATTTACGCCGAAGATCTTCGGTGTGGATCTTTGCCTTTTTCCTTATAATCCTTAAAATATCTTGGCGTACATTTAGCAAACCTTCGCCGTGACCTTTGAGTGGAATGCACCTTGCTATATTCGGCGGGCCGGGTGGTTCACTTACGCCAACAGAATATATTATGAATACAAAACTGTTGAACGTCGATACATCCAAGAAGAACCAAGAATAAAAGCTATAGCCAAAGAAAAAAGCCATTTCTCAAGGAAGTCGACTCACTTCCAGTTCAAACACGACTTCGCCACGACTTCGGCACTCGCACGATGTACACTAATTTGAGCCCGCGATAGTCCGCTCTTTGATTTTTTTTTTCCCACTGGTCTGCGGCTCAACAAAGAAAAAAAGTTCACAGGAATCGACCAAGCGCTTTTTTTCCCCCACACACCTTCTATACTCATAAATGCTACGCATTCACTCGTAAAAATTATCGCAGAGTAAAGAAATTCGCTACAGCAAATATGGCCAAAATGGTAATGGTTTGTCGTGTTGTTTGTCTATGAAGTTTGCATACAAAACCATTCCGGCCTTAAAAGGTTAATTTATCTGTGTCCTTATCAATTTTAACCATATGGAATGTTTTAGACTGAGAAACATATCTATTAATATTCGGGCTGTTGAAACACAGATAATGGATTGTCCTATATGATATGATTCCATCGGACAGAAAACATCATTCCGTTATAGAGTGCTCCGGGGATTGTACCCATTTCAACTTGTGATAATCTAAAGAAGACACACACCGGTGGTCCGATTTTAGACACTAGTGTCCTACTTTAGACACAAGCTACTAATTTTGAACATTAATGTCCAGTATTAGACTTTAGGTGACCAATTTTGTACACCACTGTTCGATTCTGGACAACAGTGTCTGATTTTAGCACAAGATTCTTATTTTAGACATTAGCATTCGATTTTGGAAATTGATAATGGTAATGACACTGAAAGGAGTCCAATTTGGTATGTAATAATACGAGTGATTAAGCAAATCGAACGACCGCGAAGCGGGAGTCTGATTTGTTAATTACGACTCACTAGTTGCAAAAGTACCTTTCTGCTTTCCTCCTTTCAATTTCCTGCAAGAGCAGGGCAAGTATATAGCGATAAAAGGCACGTCATTGATTTTGGGAGGGAGGGGCTGGAATCAAAAGGGGAGGGGGGAGTACAACAATATGCCCAATGTTCATAGAAATAAGTACCTTAATGTCACATTCCGTTGTCGCTTATCAGGGTTTCATCTCATTGTCTATCACTTATATTAATTGCCTAGGGTTAGGAATTTAGGTTACAATTTTATAAATCATTATCTTTGAAGTTGGGGGAAGGGAAGCATTTGTGAGCGACAGCACCAGATGTGCAAAGTCAGGAATACTAAATTTAGCAAATTACGGCATTAGATGTGAATAATGAAGAATGGTCAAATTAGTTCTCTTTTTCAAATTATTGTTTGTAGTCTCTTTTATGATAAAAGACTATCATTAGTCTCTTATGCACCTGTTTCGAATAAGGTTGTCGGGAAAAAGCGTAAAAGTGCACGCAGTAAACCCGAAAGGTAATGAGAGTAGTTTTTAAGAACCTTCTTTGACCTGAGGATTTCAAGAAAATCTAGCTGAGAAAATGTCACTTTAAGGACGAGGCATAGCGAGTTACTTTATTTATGCACTTTTGTTTTGTTTTGTTTTGTTTTGTTTTGTTTTTTTCCGGTAACCTTTCTCGAAACTGCTGTATACCAGCGGATAAGCCTCCTTGGCTTCGCTTTGGAGTGAGAAATTGGAGTGAAACATATTTTCGAGGTTAGAAAGGCTAGTATACGTAAATATATGAAGATAACAGTAAGGCTCGCCATAAAGAGAGAGATGTAGGCCGTCCAGTGAAAGAGTGTCTCACGTTAATATTCTTATATTGATACACTCTCTGCGCATGTTTAAGTTCTAGTCGCTTACACAGACACAGCGGAAAAGAGAGCACATGCTTGAAACGCGTGCGAAAATTTACGCGCGAAAAGGAACGGGAATGACAATATTTCCATAGTAACACTATAGCGGCGGTATGGCGGCATTTTTAAAATTCATATTGTTTGTTTTTATTTCGCGGGAATAAGCCCTACCCTGAACAGATAAGGTTCCCACTTTCGAGAAAGTTTCTTTCGAACCTGCTCTGCAACATATCTTTTCCAACAAAAAAATTATTCAGGGCACAGGTGTGAATTTTAGTATCGAAGTGGAACATTCGTAACATGGCAATAAACTTCGTAGCCCGTGTTATTGCTATAGCACTTGTTTTTATCACCTCCTCAGTATGGTAAACCGCCCAGCGAAAAGGTTTGTTGTTTGAGAGAAAAAACACGCCATAAATCTTCTTTTAGAGGAAGCATAATTGCCTTTAACACTGAAATAACACAAGTGGCGGAGGTGGAACCAGGAAATGTTGTGTGAATATATTAATGGCCATGTCATTATCAGCAATTCGAAACAGGAGCAACATCTGAACGTGCCTAATACCTTCGCATTCTTCCACTTTGAGTAATAAACCTATTCCCACGAGACTGTACAAACTATTTGACAAGGCTGGAGAAAGTGAGGCTTCTTATTAACCAGGGACGCTATGGTGCACAAGTTGTTGGAGAAATGCCGACAAAACATTTGCCTCGAGACCACTTTACTTCAGATAGTTATATTCAAAGGCTTTCA